TGTAAGCCCCCCCGCCTAAAACATCAACGTCAAACCTTGATGCCTGAGGAACAGTTGAAATTGATGTTACAGGAGGCGATTACATTAGTCCCCAGCCCGACACAGCTTCGACTTTCTGAGCGCTAGCCTCAGGAGTATTCTATTTGGGGATTGTAGGCCCCCAAAAGGGATTGCGTAGTCTGTAGTCCCCAAAGGGAGGGTGGGGGCTTTTGCGGAGATCATTGGTCCCCCTGTAGAGAGTAAAAGTATCCACCGTCCGGTTGTAAGATTCACCTGCAACCAGGCTAACCTCAACCTGGAAGACCCAAGTCAGAAGTCCCTACTGGGCAGCAACCCGCAGTTGCCGTCTCGCATGGCCTAGACACCTACTACTCTAGGATGGAGTATGTGAGCTATGGACTAAATTTAGGTTGGGGGACTTTTTGGGGGGAACCCATTAAGGCATATATTATTGATATATTACAAATTTAGTCCAGGGCTCATGTCAACTGTACTTGGCAGGGTCCAGGTGTTCAGCCAACTTCAACTGGTAGCACTCAATTGGTATACCTACGTGACGTATACTATATGGTTCCTGGCTCACCTCATGCCATTTACTTACCTAAAATTCCTAGAGATGCACACAAAAAGGCAAGGTCCCTAAACCCTAGAGTCCCCCTTAAGTAGATAGAATATGGCTTTCGGTATATTAAACAATCCCCATATACTCCATATTCTAGCTCAGGGGGACTTTCAACTGAACACTAGTGGTCCCAAGGTCAGTGGGCACAGAATCCTGGTTTCCGCTGATGAGGGCGTTTTTCTGGCAGAGTTAGAGGACATGCCGGCGGTGCCCTGAAAAGGCGCTTAGGGCTTAGGCTAGATACCCCAGTAGTACCCTTTTTCCTTTTTCATTTGTATTAAAACTGACTAGGACAAAGGGTACCCTTGTTATTAAGGGGTTACCGGGGAACCTAGTTACGGGGCCCCAGGAGTTTTTCAAAGCGGGCTTCAAGACACGTTGATGTAGAAGCCTGCAGGAATGTAAATGGCCAGAGTAGGGGTCGGAAACGAGCACAGCCTAGACCGTAAACCGCACGCTTCTACATTAAGGTCATTCCATCAGCTTCAATGCGAATCCGCGGCTTTGCGCGCTAGGGATCCTACGATGACTGTTTAAACGGGCTGTCTATAGGTACAGGTCACCCTTAAACACCACCCACTTAACCCTGCACCTTCTAAGCTTTACACTTAGTAGCTGGGTAAGTAAGCTTGAATTTTTTGGGGGTTCCTATAGCGCTGGTCTGCTAAGAAAGGGTAGATTTTTCTGGCCTTGAAGCTCAGCCACCAAGTAAATCTTCCCAAGAAGCTTTGCACTAGTCTTTGCCAGGAGGTTTGTGGCTTAGGGTTTGGGGCTCAAGGGTTATGGAGAAGGAGTAGTTGAGGCATAACTTAGATGCACCTAGCGTAGAAACCTGACAAGGTACCAAACATCATCGCTACTGGGGGGTTCGTAGGGGATATGGGAATGCAATACATGGCGGGTTATGTCGGCTCCTTTATTCCTATCAAAGCCAGCAAGACTGCCAAAACCATCTCTCATCAGCATTGCAACAAACAGTATAGCCCAAAGCCGGAGTTTAATTAGAATCCGAACTACAGCCCGTGTGCATTTCAATATCAGTCTTTGCCAGCAAGTTCTCTAAAATCTTAGTCTGAGTATGTACGCCAGTGCAAGTATAGAACCCCAAATAGCCTTCTATGTCGCTTTCGCTTGCATCTATAAACGGCACCTCCGTTAACCCCTTCGGGCTGACTGTGGTCAGCAAATCCGGGATTGGAGCTTTGGAGCATCCGCCGGCTTCGTGGGCAGTCGTCTCTTGGACGCCGGAAATGATTATAGTCCAACTTGAGTAGATAGAATCTGGGGTATATGGGATTCTTACTGTAATGTACTCAAAGCCATATTCTATCTACTTAAGGGGGACTATGAATTGAAATGTTGAAGATAACCCCTGCTTTGAAGCCAAGCTTTCACGCGTGACTCTTCGCTGGTGCTCATTTAAAGGGGAGGGGGCAGTGGATGTAGGGCCCGTTTCAGGGTTATGGATGGGGATGGGTGAGGGATTACAATTTATAAAGGTCCACTCCCCCGCTCTGCCGTAAGCACTAGCAATTCTATTGTCAGCATTGCCTTGCAAGTCTGTAGTCTAGTCAGCTTTACCTTGTCGATTCTGCCGCTTGCACAGCTGGTGATGTGTGTCATAGTAGCTTTCATGTTCTCCTCAATGCCCTACGAACCATCAGCACAATAATAGACCTTCAAAGGCTCACATGAGGCTGTAGCAGTTGGTCTCACCTCGTAGCGGTGCCACAGCGCATCGCCAGGCCCCAGAGGGGCGTCATGCATGGGGTTATAGTCCCCCTGAAGTAGATAGAATATGGGGTATATGGGGATCTTATCATAATATACCCAACGCCATACTCTATTGACTTAAGGGGGACTGTAGATTTTTAGTGTGTCAGGGTTTGAGCTTTAGGACGCTGAAATATGAGTTTCGGTCTGCAGGTTGAAGTCAAACATTCGCGGTTTAGGGTTTAGGGTTTACGGTCTTGGGCTTCCCGCAATTGATGCTAAAAAGCTCGCATGGTCTTCATGCTACTGTACCATAGTCCGCAAGGTCTAGGGTACTTGAGGTCATGTTGGATTTTAATTCAAGTGCGCGCCATAGTACGAAACATTGCCAAGCCCAAGCCCCAAACACTAAGCACTAAACCCCTAAATCCTAAACCCCGAACGCTAAACGCTGAACTTTAGCACCGCTTCTGTTTATTGGCCTTGCTAAAGAATAGTGTGAACTTCCAGAGCATTCTGGCATAGTTTCCGGATGTTTGGGGGCTTAGGATGCAGGATTTAGGCTTCAGGGCTTAGGGTTGAGGATTTAGGGTTTGAGGTTTAAAGGTTTACGATTTAGGGTTTGAGGTTTAGGGTTCAGGCTTTGAGGGTGTAGGATTCACGGCAGGGGTAGCTAAGTCACCTTACAACGGTACGCAGGTACTACAGTCGTGCTGGTCACGATACAGAGCAAGTAGGCCTTCTGGGAATCCCATTTGGACCTATCCCAGGGTGTCCCTAAACCCTACACCCTAAACCGCTCGGCACAAGCTGCTCATTCCAATCCCTACATGAGTGGTATTTTATTTGGGGATACTATGGTGCCTAATATAGAATAAGATTCTATTCTGCGTTTGGGGTATAGTATTTTATATAAGGAATACAATCTTACTGGGTTTAACCACCAAACAAACACCACTCACATGGTCTTAGGTTGGGTACTGCCCTCACTCAGCAACAGCTGGATCATAGTTAAGGTTAATTAGACAAGACACCTCCCTGATATTGTTTGTCCGTAGCGTATCCTTCAGGTAGTAGCCAGTTTTACATTTCGCCAGGATGCCAGAGAATACGGTTTAGGGTTTAGGAGGTGGTGAGCTGTCTAGCCAGCAACCGAAAGGTTGTGATTTCTTGCGCTTGGATGCCAGCATGCCCCGAAGCAAAACTGCCTTAGCCAGTCCAGTGTTCCAGGTTTAGGTCAGCTAAAGTCTTAACTCCTAAAAGGCTGTTATATGGGGGATTATATAGGGAGTATGATAGGGTTTGGGAATCCTAGCAGTTTAGACTAAGGCTTAGGGGTTTAAGACTAATGCTCTAATCGCATGAGACATTTTTTTACAGGGTGCATACATGCTCAGATAATGGTGTCAGGCAGGAAAAAAACTATGCATCTTTGGGTAGCCCCATACCAGTAACTCATGGGTGCGTCAGGGCTTAGGGTTTGGGCTGCTGCTATTCAAAGCTTCAGCTGCTCAATGCTCAGATGCCTCAGATAATGGTGTCAGGCAGGAAAACTTTGCACTATTGGACACACCCAAGAACTTATGGGTGCTTTAGGGCTTAGGCCTAAGGCTGTCGCTGTTCAAGGCTTCAGCTGCTCAATGTTTAAACGTTGCAATTCTTAGCAGCCGTTGCCCAGTGCTCAGATGCTTCAGAAAATAGCTTTGGGGAGGACAAACCTTGCCTTCATGGGTTATAGCTATCTTTATCATTAAGGTCGGAGATTAACTCCGTGTTTTTTGCTTGGGTAGCCATACGCGGACACATCAGGCCGGAAACAACTTTTGATTATGCAGGGTCCCCAAATCCTCTTTGGGGGGATTCAATGTTTTCGAACTTTCATTTATTGGGGTCCCCACACTAGTCAGCCCCTCGCTTTAAGCATCCTAAACCCTAAACTCTATATAGCCGTAAACCTTAAACCCTAGCAAGCCGCAGACATTTGGGGCTCGGCCCGTGTCACTTTCAGTTTCCGTTGCTCGGAGGAGAGAGCAACCCGGCTGCAGAGTCCCTGAGCCCTGAAACTTCAAGTTGGGTTTAGGGTTCAGGGTTTAGGGTTTACCCCAAAATTCTTACTTTCTTAAGGTAGCATACAGGCAAATCATAGTAGGGAATCCTACAAATGTCGGTTTTGGGGGTCCAGGTGGAACTTAGATGAAAACCCCTGAGACATGTTTAGCCTCTTCCAGCCTATACTTGGACCATAATTACAGCCCATGGATCAGGGCGACATGAGACAAAACAAGAAGCTACGAGTTCAGAAAGATTATGGTGTTATATTTGTCTACAGGTGCCATGGGATGGGGGCACAGCTTAATTTGGCTTGTGCGGGTTGGCGGAAGTGTCCGAGGCCATCACAGGGTCTACTCTGAAGGAAGTCACCTGAAGTCAGACACGATCATTTACCTTCACCATCAACTACGCGGTGCAGCACATGGCATGAGTCAATATTGAAAGCATATGAAGGTCAGTTCAGCCGGCTGAACCCTAGATAGGTTAGCAGCCGAATCCCAGCAGAAAGTACAGACACGTGAGCCATAATATGGCCCCCCTTATTCTTGTTATACGAGCCTTAAAGGAGCCTTATATGGGTCCTTGACTCAATCCGCGGGAAAGAGCAAAGGACATGGCAGACATTGAGTTGGAGAGTGGATCCGCGCAGTCCAAATCGACCAGCGCACCGCAAGAGCGCCATGGCTCCGTCGTCATGGTCCATGTTATAGAAGCTTGCCTCCAAGTACGCTGGACCGTTAACCGCACTACCTCAATATCCCAAGAAGGCCACCTTCAACATCGACGATTCTTCTTTGTATCTGCACTATTATAGGTGCACATCAAGATTAGCTGAATCCGTTTTGTAGATCGGGTACCGGGTGTCCAATGTTCTTGAGAGGTAGGTACTTTTTTAAGAAGTCTCATCCATTGCGCTTAAATTCAGGGGGCATCACCAGATCGTGTTGCCTTTTCAGTGAAGGATTTAGAGTCGAGAGCAGCATTGTGGTGCTGGCCTCCTGTAGACGTGCTACATAGACCCTAGGACTAAGATGCTAAGCCGCAAAAAGGAGGTCAGGCCCGCCCATACCTTCTGACAGAAACAGCAAATGAGGAGTTCTCTCGGATTGCACTGGCCATGGCTGGCTGCGCCGTGGCTTACGCCTACTCCACACAGGGCAACCTGGTCAGTATGATCAGCTGTTGGTGTCTAAACCATAAACCCTAAACCCTAATCTGTAAGATCCCAGTGGACACAGAACCAAGACAGAGCTAGTTACCAGCGTGCTTGTGAATAGTGCCTCTATTAGTAGATTGAGCTACTGTCAATATTAGCCTTTTTAAGGGACCCTTAGCAGTAGACATAGGGGTCCCTCTTGTAGTTTAGTATGATCCCTAGTATAGTCCCCAATAAGGAACCCATGTCCATTAAATTGTGTAGGAGATATTGACTGTAGCTCCTAAACTTGAACTAATTATTAAGTCCACCATTCCCCACCTCATTATCATAATTTTCGATGACAAGGGCACGTCGAGGATGCTGCAAGGCTCCTACAGTTGGGCCTTTCCGTCGCGCTCAGTGGGACCTGCGCACTGGAAGGCGATTCTTCTTGTGTTGTTGGGGTTTGTTGGGGTTAGGGAAGGTAATGGTCAGATAATGGTGTGGGTTGCGGGTTCACCCGGCTTTAGCGACTCTACAAGCTTCTGGAAGAGCTTCTTCTTGATTGTTGCGTCTTGACGTTGCCAAGATATTACGCGCAGACGACTTGCTATAGCCAACCGCCAAGGTCTGTAGTCAGCCGTTACCTATGGACTCTACTTGTAGCCATGTTAGTGGTTAATGTGGGCCTCAACCCTCCACATACTTTCAAAGCGAACCTTTTGCAGGTATTTGCTTCTACGAAACAGCAGCACGTCAAAAGGGGCCCCTGGCATTTGGTTGCAGAACTTTTTTCTTTGTTCAAACTTGAGCTACTGAGTCCTAGGGAAACTCGTGCCTACACTAGTAGTGCCAACACGGTCTACTACATAATCCTTTGACGTCTAGTCTAGAGTCTAGAACAGCATAGTAGAGTAGAGTACAGTATAGTATAATCAGCAGGTGTAATTTGATGGAATGCTTTTACACCAATCAGGTATGATCGAGGGTTTGACTTCTCGAACGGACGAAATCCATATGCCACGCAGAGCACGCTGTGGTTTGCAGCAAGCTGCCTCGTTGGCGTGGTTGCCTTCTTTGTGTACCCCCGGAATCCCTCAGCGCAGATCGTCCTTGCAACCCTCCAGCTCTTGTTCTTTCTGATGTCGGCCCTGAACCATGCGTATGAAGCAGTATCTCACGGCAATTGGCGCTGGCAGAATGTGAGTCGTCCCCTGCTGAGCGTGGCGATGGTTGCGGGCGCAGTTTCCCGGCAGGAAAGCTAGTTTTCGTTTTGGTTTCAACCCTACCTGCCTCCAATCGCACGACCGCAGTGCTAGAGCATGCCAAGCCCATCCGTACCCCCCACCTGCCTGTCGAAGATTCCCCACGGTCTCCTTTTCCTTGGCTGCCCCTGCTGATCGCACGCAACTATTCCGAAACCATCGGTCAATGCCTCAGGCTCCAGGTCCTCAGACTCCTATGCCTCACCCGTACCACCGGCACTGAATTCGATCAAGATCCTGTCCCAGGAATAAATACTCAGGACAGTGTACCAGGACCTTCCTTGTACCCTTAATTGGGGATATATGGTCCCTAATAGTGGGTACTTAGGCCCAAATAGAGGGTAGGAGGAGGGTCTAGGTAGTTAAAGTGTAGGAGCTACAGTCAATATCTCCTACAGAATTTCATGGACATGGGTTCCTTATTGGGGACTATATTTGGGACCATATAATATACCCCCAATTAAGGGTACAAGGAAGGTCCTGGTATAGAGTATGCACCAACCCCATTATTGGACAAGACCGTTTTTTGCAATGTGTTGGGTCCAGTTGGTCAAAGACTTGTCCAGAAAAACACTGTTTGCTAGTGTAGGGTTTAGGGTTAAGGGTTTAGGGTTTAGTCTGAATCAACAAGCTGGGAGTTCAGGACTCGAGTCGTTCTTGGAGTACCATTGGGCCGGATAAAGACGTCCAAGACAGTGAATAACGCTTGGTATTCTTGAAACCTTTTGCTGAGCCCTCAAAGCTCTGGAGCCATTGAATATGACCCTAAACCCTAAATCCCAAAACTAAACCTCGAGCCTCCCCTTCCCATGTTCTTTTTTCATTCTTACTATACAATCCCCATATACCCCTATATAACTCTACATTAATCCCTATATACCCCTACATAACTCTATATTAAGCCCCTTTCCCGGTAAGGTTCCGATCCTCCTGAAGGCCTCGCAGGCTTGAACGCCGCTGATACCCAGACTTGCGCCCTGCCCTGTCATAGTACAACCCAGAGGGTCCAAGTACCCAATAATTAGGTACTTGGGATCTGGGTAATAGCAATTATAGTACAGGTTTTGGGTAGGTATATGATTATTAGGTACCCTTAGGGTTATGAAATGCCGATACAAACTAAGTAAGAGTAGTAGGGTTCAAGCGTATTTGACATCTCATACTTGAAAAGTTCAAGCAACTGATCATGTTTGAGGGTGAGGCGCCCAAATCCGAACCCTGCGGCCCCTGCCTCCGAGTTCCGCTGTACTACTCTCGACTTCCGCTGTACAGCACAGGGGCGAGGTGGTTTTGTGAGCTCTCTGCAGAGAGTGCAGGATAGTAGAGTTGCAGCAAGCTTTGTAAAGATCTGCGAGATCGGGACCGAGTCAGACTGCCCGCTCAAGCAGAGAAGTAGGCTTCAATTATAAGCTCGGGGGTTATGACCCCTGCAGTGTGCAATTCAAGTTTGGACTTGCAACTGGTTCAACGCAAAAAAAGCAAGTGCATTTGCCACTCACGTGTTGTTGGGATCCCAATAATTAGGGAGCGAAATGATGGAACACAGGGCGTATGCAGGGACTACCATGAGGATCCACTCAGCAAATTCCCTGGATACGAATCACGAGTTTCCTTTCATCCTGAACTGCGTGGCGATCCAGTCCCCCATTCTTTTACTCTGGACCCCCAAACTAACTCCCTACAAGGGTTTCAAGTAGGGGCCCCTAACCTGAGGGCGTTCTGAGGTCTTTAAGGGGATATATATATATATGTATGTATGTATGTATGTATGTATGTATACATATATGTATATATATATATATTCGGTATATAATAGGAACGATAGGATTAAGGACCCGACTAGGGGCTGTGGTCCCACAGGAGACACGGCGTCACCTGCCACGGTGGGTGCAGGCCTTTGGGGGGGAGGACCCTGCTTATTCGGTTTCTTCGGGTGTTTGATTCGGAGTTTCTATACCCCTAAACCTAAAAACTTATACTTAACCCTAAACCCTGAATCCTGAACCCTATAAAAGGGTAAGAGGGGCGTATATGGACGAGCCCTCGCCGCTATTCCACCCACATCTAGGGTCCCTTTTTGTGCGCCTTAAGTAGCCCTAACTATGCCTAAGCAACTTGACTTAAGTGTGAAGCTTGGGGGGTAGTATGGGCGGAAATTAGCAGGGAATCCCTTAAAACAGCATCATGACAGTCTGAGCTCTGATAAAGCACGGCTTAGGGTTAGGGGTTGGGACTGGATAGGGTCTTGGTGGTTTAGGGCTTAGGGTTTGCCACTTTCAACCTATCTTCATGAGCGCGTTGTCGCAAAAGGGTTGTGCCACACCTATCTTAAGGGCTCATCTGGCCGCCTCCACAAAAGTTTTAAGGTTTTTTGAACAGCCCTCCTCCACCAACTGGCAGAGCCCAATTTCCCTGACCCCCACGTCAAGGATCTAAATCATGGAACCTCACCATTGGTTTCTATTTCCGCCAATGTGGTAATGGGTTCATTTTGAACCCTAAAACGTAAATTACCCTAGATCCTAAGATGCCCTAATCCCTAAACCCAATAGCATTTAGGGGGCCTGGGCTAAGATACCCCGGCAGTGCATGAAGTCCTAGGGACTCTCAGGACCCCCACTACCTGGTACCCCACTAACCAT